AAATGACTCATTTTCTTCCGCTAGTGGGAAGTATTTGTAGGGGGGGAAAAAAGGAAAAAACCCTAAACAACCCCAATTAAAAAAAAAAAAAACCAAACCCCTGGCATAATGCTCATTTTCAGCAATACACTGAACTGTCAGTCAGTCAATACTCTCTCAGCACTTTTTAGAAAAAGTGAGCATCTCATCTGCATTAATTTAATTCCACTTACTTGACCTAGAACACGAAGCTTCGGACCTCAAGAGGCCTCCATAATATGGCTGTAAAGAAATATGACTTTTCAAATGTGGAAGTTCATTATTCTAGAATGTTTTACAACCCATTACTCCTAAAAGTCTATTATGCATGTTTCTTCCAGCAGCTTTTATAAGGACTTTCAATATATTCTCTGTAGAAAACTCTTAGAAGAAAAAGCAAGAAGATACACAAAATTCTTGCGGCCTTGTTACAAGCTGTCATATTGGCAACCGCTATTTTCACTAATGACACTTCAAGACATATTTTTAAATTACTTAAGAGAGCTATAGGGACTACAACTCTAGTTGCAGTGTTAAATGTTGCCTCTTCTAGGCTTTTGGTAATCCTAGGACTCCTCTTTTTTCACTTGGTGAATGGTTTGTGAGACTTCAGTAACTCAGGTTAGGTATAGTCAAACCATAGTATTCCAAAAGCCATTGTGAAAGGTGACCAGCATTTCAGCATCACATTTGAGAATGAAACAAGGGCACTGAATTCATCCTTTTTTGCCTGCCATTCTCCACTGTTGCAAAGTGCTAACAAACATGTCACACAATTCATCAACTGCTTGAGCTGCACTTCACGTGTGCCTTCAAAACCTCCTCTGAGAACTGTGAGTCTGCTGCCCAGCCACCCCAGTGCAGAGGACCTGAGCAGTCCTAGAGACCTTTCTGTAGCTACTCAACTTGACCACATCAGTCTGAATTGGAGCTTTGCAGAAGTCGCTCTCAGAGATTTTCTTCTTCTTAACTTTATCTTAAAATGAAATGTATAAGATACTGATGTGGCCTAAATACTTTTAAAAATATTTTTTTCTATGAGGAAATGGAGAAGCAGAAATGGGAAAGGGGGACTGAGAAAGATTTGGGGAAGAAGAGAGTTTGCTACGATCAGAGGGATGAAGAGAATGGAGGTGAGGACCAGTGCAAGGATAGAAACAGGTAATGTGGCAGCAAGAATCTGAGATGGCTACAGTGATATTGGCTACAATGATATGGCTACAATAATACTGATCTGGCATGATGACATTTAAAATACAGAAAGAAGGCAAATTTCATACCATGCTGTAATGAAGCCATTTTAAGGTAAAACAAAAGAAGAATCATAAGTCAGCCTGCAAAGCCTACATTTTTATCCTCTGTCTCCAGGCATTACAAAAAGAAGGAAACTGAGATCCAGCAATCAGATTAATGATGTCTCCCAAAATTCAAGAAAGTATCAGTTTCCATAAACAATATAATTAATATGCTAGAAGGTGTATTTAAAAAAATAAGAAAGGAATGTTTTATACCTCTCTTTTCCCCCCTGCACAACCTCAGCCCTCCATTTTCCCTCTTTTGTGAATAGCAAACGCTCCTTTGGAGCATCAAAATTGTATTCTCGTCTCCTCTCAAGTAATCTGAACCCTGAAGTGATCCTGAATGTCTGGATAACTCCTCTCTTCCTGTGCCCCATGTTTCCCAGTGCAGACAAGCTGCTTGGAAGATCTCTCTCTTTGGAGGGGTCATTAATCCAAGGTGCTTAAACATTGGAATCACAAAATTAAAATCTCTTAAGCCTCAGAAAGACAAAATTAAGGCTCAGACCATGCATCCTCATGGTGGAAAGCTAACTACAGTAAGAAAACAGTCTGGTTTGTGTGGGACTGGCCAGGGAGGATGTGGAGCCTGCCTAAGGCAGCCTGACAGAAAGGAAAGGCAACCTGCCTGGGTGACATGGATGGTGGGGGCACAAGGCTGGTGCAAATACAGAGTGTGCTGCACAGTGAGCCATGTGTGTGACCCCCACCTGTGACACACACACTGCTGCCACAGTTCACATGTGCCCCCACTGTCTGACAGGCTCCATGGGGCAAGAAGGGAGCTATCGTACAGTAGTGTAGGCACAGCATCTTCTGTGATACTGCACAGCAAAGCTGACTGCAGTTAGGAATGGTCTGCCTACTTTTTCCCCCACACAGTCCAAATATTTTTAAATGGGATCATGAGATCCACTCCCACAAGACAGAAATCATGACAGGTGCTTGGAAACCACATATATTATTTTTCAGCTAGCCTCAATAACAGCAAATGTAAAACCAACCATTAAGATGCTATGAAGAAATACACTGCTAATAAAAATTTTGCAAGAAGTTCAATAGCACAAAGCTTTACTAGTGCAGGATAGAGGGAGTTTCACGGTATTTGTCCCTCTTCTAGAATGTGAAGCTCAGGAAAATGGAAAAAATTAAAATAAATCTAATGACAACAAAACTTGCAAAATGGAATACCAAGTGGTCACACAGCCTCTGTTTTACCTTAGTTAGGGAGTAGCTATCCCTAGACACACATTTGCACCTTGTATTCAACATGTTGTGAACATCAGCCATCCCCATCCTTTCTGTAATCAAATCAAAAGCCAGGAGGAAACCCTCCCGACTACTACATTTGGTAACATTTTCACTCACACATGTCACCAGCTTCTGCAGTTTCATCATCCATCCTTAAACCCACACGTCACACTATCTCCCACTGAACTGCCAGCCAGCCCATCACAAGGCCATGGCTTCATCCTTACACTGAAACTCTGCAGAGCAGCAAGGAGACCAATGCCACGCCAGGCATACATCAGCTGATCTCCTCGACTCAGACGCAGATGGCAAAATAGAGGGGATCCCTATCTGCATTTAATACCAGGAAGTATATCATCCTTTTTGATTACTGCCAGCTCTCAGAAAAAAGTGATTACAGATTTTGAGAGTCGGCAGCTCCATTTTCTAGATCTTAAACATTTGAAGCTACTGCATTTATCTTTTAATTTTACTTCCTTCCCAACTCAACTTAGTATTATAGCACTCAAATCCTACACAATAGACTTGCTATTTAATCAGTATTTTAAATTCCATCTTTGAAGAGTCTGTCTCATATAAAGCACAACAGTAAATGGAAAAATGAACAAAATGATTTAATATAACACAGCTCCTAAATGTATGTGCTTTATCTTTAATGCTGTCACCTTTTTTTATGTACAGACTGTAGCATGTTGAAGGTGGGAGAGCATCAAGGGAGTGAAAAGTTAGATCCTACTACTCAAATACCAGATACAGTATTTGGATATAAACCAATTCCTTCTGAGGACTGCTAGATGTGCTAAATCTCATGCTGATTCTCAGCAGATCAGACTATTTTTTTTAACTTCTTGGTAGAAGGCAAAAAAATCTTTAACAACATGTGAAGTTAGAAAGTAGAAATACACAGCCTGACAATTTTTCTAGAGGAAGGAAAAAACGACGGTATCATTGTTTTCACCTGCCAATGTTTTCAGAGACAAAATGTGCTTTTGTGTTTGTACTTCTGTTGCTCCTATAGGAGCAGAACATGACAAAACTGAATACCAGGAGGGGCTGCATCCATGCATGCGTGACAGAAAGTAGAACCCTGAAAAATTCAAAGTTTGGGTAGTACTTAATTAAAGCTATCAGTTCTTTTTTGGTCTCCTTCTGTGGCCTTAGCAGAAGAAGCTTATCTGATCAACTATGTACAAAATGCAAAAAAGCACTTGGATCAGGAAACCTGTGATTAGAACAAGTATGAAGCAAATACATCTTACATTCTATATTCATGTATATTTAAAATTGCCACATTGAAATGAGTCCTTTTCTATAACATTACATTTGCCTCATCTCCATTTCCTGCTGATGACAAAAACCATGACAGCAATCGTAGAACTCAGTCTGAAATTAAGTAGTTCACTGTACAGGAACAAACTTATGGTACTAATTTCCAACAGCTAGAACATAAAATGCCAAAAAATGTCAAAACTGAATGAACTCTGTAAGGAAATACTGGCACAATTTAGATGACAGAGAAGGTTAATAAAATACAAGACACTGAAAATGTATATGATACATAGAAAGAAGATCAAGAATCGGAGAAAAACACTTTGCATTTTATGTTTCTTTTGACAATTTTAAAACCAGTCAGACAATTCTCTTCCTGAAATTTCCTGCTTTGAATTTCTCTATTCAGAAAAAATTAATATACATACTTAAAATATATAAAGATGGACTTAACATAAGGCACAATTCAATCCCAAATCTGATTACTAGAGAACATCATCAAGTTAATTACCCATAAGATATATGAATCACATGGTAAATCCTAGAGGTATTTGCTTAAATTTTCAGAAGTCACTAAATGATCCTGTTAAATATGTGTGTTGTGGTTTCCATGCTACTTCTGACATTTTCAGTCACTACCTTTTTTAAGAACCATGCCAGTTTAGGTCCAGCACTTCTCCAGAAACTCTTTCCTATTTTGGACATTTTAAATGTCTTTTCAGAGATCCTTTTTGTCTAGCATGGCACAGTGTAAAGTGGAATTAAACTTGGGTGATCCACAGAAACCCACACTCAAGAAGTGCGCCCCAAGCAGACTGATGTAATCCCTTAAGTCTCAGGAAATTCAGCTTGAATCACATTTGAATGCAGTCATATGTTCAAATATGAAAAGGTAAGGTACATGTGCTCTAGTAAGATATTTGCATATGAATGGATGCAGAAGTCTGCATCATCCCACCAGACAAAACCAGAGGGAGATACAATGCCCACAGCAGCCTTCACTCCCTCCCTACAGTAAATGCACCCCAAAAGTAAGATCAGTTCTGATTCTGTGCAGATCTGGTGTAAGACCATGATAATACTGAAATCACCCTTCCCTAGTAGGGCAGTAACAAAAGCACCAAAGTCAGATATCGCATATCATTTGTTATGAAGGACTCCTACCTTTTCAGCTTCATATAATTTTCACTAGCTGCAGGTCTGCATTCAGCACGTTGCACCACTATTCCTTCCAAGGCAAGTTTATCTAGAATGAAAAGAAAATGAAGTTAAACTGGACATGAAAATAAGATCCACCAAGATGGTCAGCATTTGAATTATTTTTCACTAATTAAGAATTTACTAAATACAATTCTAAGTTCTCAAAACAAGCTCCAATATCTCTGCTATTCAGACACCAAAGAAATAAGCAGGAAAAATATGTTTGCATAGCTGGTATACCCTAGACTTCCTTGTTTTACCCTCAGATGTTTTACATATTAAGATTGAATCACAGAGATCAAATTTTAAATAAGAGATTGTAACTCCTTTCTCTAGATGTTGCACTCAGAGTATTATCTAGGAACTTTTTTGTAAATGGGCAATCCAATAATCAAAGTATCCAAAGTTAGTGGTAGACAAAGCAAAAGCTAATTTTATTCTTATACTCAGGAAAACAGTACCACATTTTCCTCTTGTTACAATTTTTTTAAAAGTACATTGAAGGAACACAATGCAAAAAAAGTAATAATACAAGAGGATGGTAACAGTCAGGGAAAAGAAGTAAAAGCTTTCAGTCAGTAATCTAGGACACCACATCCATGTATTTAGGTAGTACTCCTCTCTGTACATTCACCACAAAGTCACTTTGTTGCCCTAGGTGACCACCTTTTGCCTAAAGCAAGGATGACTAACAGAGCAGTACCAGCCTACACCATAAAGGTAGGTAAACCCAAAAATTAAAAGCAACTTAATGTAGAAATGAAGAGAGAAGTGATGGTGGGCAAATTTTTTCACTTCTACTATGATGTTCTAGTGCATGATGTGCAGATGTGGGAGGAGTGCATGTCAATTAATCCGTCTGTTTTGGACACAGCCAGCACAATTTGTACAAACACAAAACAAACACCTCTGGAACAGCCTTGCATTACAAGAAAGGATGAGTTTTAAAGGCTTGACTAGATCTCAGTCTTAAAATGTCCTTCCAAGAGCACTACACTGTCATTGTCACCTTCTGCTGGCAATGCCACAGAAGGTGACAGATACACTTAGAAATACTGAAGTCCAAGTAACACAAGGCACTCTGAGACACCTCTGGATTTCCTATCACCTTATAGACTGAAATATTACTACGTCCACATATCTAAGTCTGCTCTCCCTGAATAATGCCAGAAACAATTACTTAGAAATCATGAATTTTTAAATTATTTAATCTAAAATTTATTGGATTGATTCAAACTAAATCTTTGAAACCAGTAAGAAAGCCATATTTTTTCAGATAGGTTTGAATGAAATAGAAGAAAATTTGTTTTAAAACACTTGTGATTTTGTAGATTCCCAGCCTAATGGTCAAAAGAGAGAACTTGGAAGATTTGCCTGACTTCCTGTGTATCACAGACAGAAAAATTGTATGGTCTTTCTTCTTTACCCAGTAACTTTACCTAGGACCTAGTAACTTACTTGTGGCTTAAGTGGTACTAATATTGCTGCTTAATTTCTAATAAGAATTTGGCTTCAGCTTCTAGCAGTTGGTTCTTCTCATGACTTTCTATACTATGGTAAAGAGTCTTTCAGTACCTAGTGTTTTCTCCCTTTCAAAGTACTTACAAATCGTTATCAAGTTGCTTCTTAATCACTTTTTCAATAAATGAACCAATTTAAGCTCATGCATTATCTCATTACAAGACATTTTTGCCATGCTTAAATCAGTCTGGGATTTCTTATTTGCACCTTTTCAATCTTGAAATGATGCTTTAAGATAACAGAGACCAGAAACCAGACATAATACTACTGAACTGATTTTATGAAAACCATACATGGAAGTAAAATAACAGACACAGGAGCTGGAATTTCTCTCAAATTAAAATTTCATTCAAATTAAACCATTTGAATGTTATTCAGAATCTATAAATTCAGCAGAGAGAGGGAGGAAGGGAGACTGTCAGGAAAAAAAATGGTCCCATATTTTTAAAAATAAATTATTTACCAGTGGGGTTTCTTGGTAGGTTTTTTTGGAGGAGGGTGCACACGGTGTCTGTGTCCCATGACTGCTTCATGCTTAGATGGCTAAATGAGTTAAGATCATTTGTCTCTAAAAACCAAGTTCTGGGGGTTTGGCTATTATATTACTAACTGGCTATTATATTAGTAACACAACTATTCTGAGTCTTTTCTAAGCCTCACATTTTACCTATAGGCTCTGCATTGACTAGGTGTATAATTGCCTTTGGTTTGGTGAAAACACATTGTCTTTAAAACGGATTCTGTGAATTAAGCAATCCCAGTCGCACTATGACAGTCCTGTCATAGTTACTCACTGTCTGACCTGCATTTGTGTCAATCACAACACATTTTATAAGCAGTGATTCTCACCACTGTCGTCCTTGCTAATCCTGGAGTAAGCCCTTCAAACTACAACTCAAGAGGCTTCCTACTCATAATTCCTTTCTGATAATTGTCAGATAGTTTTTAATCTTGTTCTGTGCTTGTTTTAGTTTCTTTTTTAATATAAATCAGAATGTCACAAGGATCTAGACTATGTGCAATAGGAAATGCTAAGCAGGCTGCAAATGTGCTGTTACTTTAAACGCATAATCTTCAAAACAAATAAAATTAGGTTTATTGGACCAGAAAAACTTACAAAAAGTCATGTTTGCTAGCATTCATTACATTTCCAACCTTAGACACCTCTTGAACTCCATAACAATTTTTCTGCTTTCTTCTATGGTACAGGTTTCAAGGCTAGTTAACCTGTATTCATCTGAATCATCTAACCCAGCTGCCTGAACACTGACATGTCACTATCAATCTCCCTGCACCTTGCACAATTTTCAAATTATTTTTAAGTTTCAAGGATCAGGATCAGTAAAGCAGAGAGTTCCTACCCATTAACTATTTAGAAAATGAACATGCAAATTAAACATGTTTATCCTTAATATGACCACAGAATCACATAATAGTTTGAGTTAGAAAGGGCCTTAAAAATCGCTCAGTTCCAACCCCCCTGTCATGGCCAGGAACACCATCCACTAGACCAGACTGCACAAAGCCCCATCCAAACTATCCTTTAACACTGTCAGGGCTAGGGAATCCACAACTTCTCTGGTATCTCATCTTTGATGCCTTGGCCAATACCCTCTTTTCATTACCACTGATCCAGATTTGACTTTTGCTGTCGAATCCAGACAAAATGTTCCAATCACTCCCAAACACCACCTTGCAGCTAAGGTTGTCTGCTGTCTAAGAGCATCCACTGTCCAAACACCAAGGCTTATGTCCCACTTTCCTTGGACCCTCTTTGGAATTTTAACACAACCTTAGAGTCTAGCAGAATACACAAGGATACAGGCAAACCTCCAGATGCAAGACTGCAGTCAGGAAACACAGTTTTTATTCCCTTTGTAGCCTACTTAGACCTCATTCACCAAACTCAAATTCAGAGACTTGGGTTTGTCTTTAACTGTTGCAGGACGAAAGATGCAATGAAAAGATATCCAAAATGCTACACATCTGCCTTGACATTTCCATAGTCACATCAGCTTAGGAGGTAATGGATGAATAAGGCATGGAACTGGTAGTTTCCCGTTAAAAAACCTACTCAAAGTAGATAGTACAAAGTAAATACATAGGTCTGAAATACTAGCTGAGATCAGTGATGAGAAGGGAAAATAAGACATTTTCCCAAGATCCTCACACTCTCAAATGCCCAACATGTGTTGGCAGGTACAAAATACCCTCATAGTGCAGCTCCAGACAGGCTCCTCCACAAAACCCGTACGTTCATCATTAGCTGCCAAATGCATGCTCACCCTGACCTCCCTGCCTTAATGCCCCAGTGCCAATTCATAAAGTAATTTCAACTATTGTCTCAGTGAGATGATAGATATGCTGGGAGAGACAGATTCCAGCTTGGAATCCTGCTGACAATCATTTTCAAAGAATAGAATATGATAGAAACACTTAAGCCAATGTTAATAAACAGGCAGGAGAAATTTACTGGAATTGTGCAGTAGATGGTCTGATAGGGGTTGGCTTGTTGCAGTTTTTAGAGAGAGAGAGATGGACTGATTTGGAGATTTTAATGTATCAATCCTCTAGTCTGACTGCACTCAGCTTCTATTTCCAGCCACTGTCTTATTGGACCATTGACTGCTGAGCTGAAGATCCTGCTAGGAAAGCATTTCTGCCCATCCAAGCACTTACATAGTCTTTACCTTTACCAAGCCTAATAAAAATAAATCATGTTTTCTTGAACCTTCCATTATGCCAATTCTTCAGCTTCTTAATCATTCTTATTAGCCTGAGAAAGGCCAGTTCATGTATGTCTTTCCTGAGATATTGTCTCTCACAGGCAGACTTGACAGCACGTGGGTCAGGCTCTGGAGCTTACCACCTCCTCTGTCTTGTGAGTGGTGCCAAGGAAGAAAGGAGAAGACCACACTCAGGATGCATGGTTCTCAGGCAGCAGGAAAAAGGAGATGAGAGTGCAGGAAGGGCAGGCTGTGGGCACATGTGCCTCCAGCTCCTCAGCTGTTAGAAGATGGACTGTTGTTTCCCACGGCCATGGTTTAACCCCAGCCAGCAAACAAGCTCCACGCAGCGACTCACTGCCCCACCAGCAGGATCAGGGAGAGAATCAGAAGGGTAAAAGCTGGAAAACTCAAGGGCTGAGATAAAGACAGGGCCGTATCACATATAACAGTTACTAGGGAAGACAAATGCCATCATGTGGTATACATTCTACTACAAAATGACAAATGAAACATACTGAAGGATTTATCAGAAAAAAGCATCACCTACTTTGCTGAACAAATTCTAATTTTAAAAAAATGGGCAAACAAATTGGCACCACCCATTTCCTCTCCACACATTGATTAGCATGTGTGGAGAGAAATATTACTCTCCCTTAATTTTTAACTGATGTTTAACTGACTGATTTCCAAGTCAGATATTTTCTCATTCTTCATACAGTACCTTTTCATATTTAAATACCTGTCTCATCTAATTCATCTTTCAGATATTGGCACAGCATTTGCTTTTCCAGCCTTG